AGAGATACTGCCATTTTGCTCTTAGGGGATATTGTTATTCAGCTAGGAAAGATCAACCTCGATGGACTCACAGGGGAAATGCTCGCAAACAAAAGAGAAAGTTTGTCAATTGATTTCTATACTGAGGGTAATCACCATTATATTTTATCTCAAAAGCTCACACAGTGATCAACTTGGAATACAATTAATGGAGTATTTTTCTAGCAGCATCTACTGACTGATATTAGCCAGATGTCTCATTAAAATCAGCAGTGACAAACCTTAGCTCTTTACCAGCAAAATGCACTTTTGCAGCCTAATTAAATTTTTTTCTGGCCATTATGTTTGTAAGACTGAAATCAAGTCAGTTTGCAGAACAGTGCTTTGGAATGTTTTCATATAATGATTCCATGCAACCGTTCCATGCTTTGAAAATCTTCAATCTTTGAAAGCTAATACTGATAAATAAAATTAATGCTGGAAGAGACTGCTTGTGGCAAACCATGCCAGGAATAAAGGAAAAATTAACAGAAACAATATGTGCTCTGAAAAAAGCCATAACTAAACCCCCCCATAACTTTTGAAAGACTGAGCATCACACAGAAGGTCATATTTAAAATACTCTTTTTTTGCTCAATCATTTCATATTTTCAAGTTCATTAGGATTTTTTTTCCTTGAAGACTTGATAATTTCTTGAACATCTGGAAGAAAAAGCTATTTAGAGCCTTAAGTATTTTTAAGGATATGACTCGAGTGTATTGCAGGATCATCTGCAATACACTCAAGATGCACCTACAGCAAGACATGAGGCTGATCTCTTACAAGCACAACTTAATACTCTGATAGGTCCTTTTTTTGGTCATACAAAAGTATGAGAGTAATTTCAAATAATTTATAGGTGGGAGGACAGATAGATCAATGTGCCAGTGCTATGCTCTTGGGTTTTGTGAACTGCCTAGTTCTCCTATTTCACACAAGCTCATCACGCCATCTGGGCTTCATGTCCTCACAACCAGAAAACAGTCAGCCTATTGTCTACTGAGGAAGAACCAAGGACAGATTTTAGAGAAATTTAACATCTTTTTACATGTGCAGGTAATGATAGGACAAGGGAGTTTTAAACTACAAGAGGAGAGATTTAGATTAGGTACTAGGAAAAAATTCTTACTGCGAGGGTGGTGAGGCCCTGGCACGGGTTGCCCAGAGAAGCTGTGGATGCCCCATCCCTGGAAGTGTCCAAGGCCAGGTTGGATGGGGCTGTGAGCAACCTGATCCAGTGGGTGGTATCCCTGCCCATGGCAGGGGGGTTGGAACAAGATGACCTTTTGAGTCCCTTCCAACCTAAACCATTCTGTGATTTTGCCACAGAAATGTGAAGTGCAGCCTCTCCTGCCTGAGGGATCCTGGAGGTGTTCCAAGTCGTAGTCAGAGCAAATGTGACAATGAGCTGGTAAAAAAACTGCATTATGGTTCTGATTCCTGCCAGCTTTTACAACTTACTGTCCTGTTACCATAGCCCTGCACACAGGTTGACGGGAGGAAGCCACAGACACTTCTGTGGCTATTGCCTCCAGGGCTGTCAGCTCAAAGTTCAGCTCTGAAACCATTATGTTACATACTCCAACTAGAAGAGCCCATAACTCTTTTCTCTGAATACTTGCTAAATTACTTCCCATCAGTGCAAAGCTGCTGCAAAAACAAGTTCAGCAACAGCAACCCTGCATTCATTCTGTGCTGCTGACACATTTCAATATAAGAATGTCTACCTTATGCTGATCTGCAATAGGATCCCCAGAACAATTAACAGATCAATGTGCACCCAAATTTTCCACTTGTTTGGTTTTTAAAGACAGATTACTCCACAGAGTTCTGTTTCTCATGGTAACACTGGTCTGATATTAGTTTTGCTGTTGATGGCAACAATGAATAAGACAACCAAACCTGTTTCCACACTTCTATGGCTGAGAAAAAGCTGCTTTGAAATGAACTTTAGGTTGTGAGTTTAAAAAAACCAGATATATACAAGCATACAAGGATGGATTTCCAAATTGCCATTTTTGTGGAATATTTTATTGTAAATAAAACAAAAATATTTTAAAATGTTTGTATTTCAAAGAAAAAACAACAAACCTGCAGAAATCATAAGAGACAAGTACAAAACCATAGAATTGTGGGGAAATATAAGCAACTTTCTCTTTTTGTGCAGAAAATGAAAAGCCAGTAGAAAAACAAAACACTTAAGCAAACAAGAAAAACATTAAATATTATTTTTCAAAGGACAAATTGCAATCTTAAAGCATCTCCTCAAAAATTCTCAACATAAATAATGGACTTTTATTGTTCATTTACTGCAAGGTTAGGCAGCCTGATATGATGGATGAACTGTCAACTCTCAACTAAACTTCTACAATCCATCATAGAAAGACTGGAAATTTCACTCAAAGTGTCAATAAACCTAAATGATGAAGTGCAAAATACTTTACAGCATTCTGATCATTTTTTAGAACCTGCATTTGCTGCAAAATTTCAGAAACACTGCTCTTCCCCCACTTCCCTCCCCTTCTCCCTGGAAGTCATAAAATGCAGGTATACATCTTGATTTATAAGTCAATGATACCACAGAATCACAGAAGAGAAATGAAGTTACTGTAAGAGTGCGGTGCTGGGAAAAACAGTATTTATAAAATAAGCTATTTTACTTTACCCAAACATCAAAGATGGCCAAGATTTTGCAAAGATTTCTGTTGAATCAGTTATTTAAATGTGGCCATATTAAGAAAATTAAACCAGGGTTGCAGTGGAGCTTGATCTCAAGTCAAATCTGACCCTGCCTTGAGGCAACTAGAATTATCCTATGATTTGATGACAGCTAAAAACAGGAGGGGTTTTTTTGTGTATGCACAATAAAACACGCAGATTTCCATTTAATAAAACCCAAGATGCTACTGTGTCTTTACTTAATTTGGTGATAATTGACAAATAAATATGAAGTATTTGTACGCATCCGCTAATTCAAAATTATAACAATGATTTAAACTATACACAGGGGAAAATTTCACTCTATGACACCAACAAACTCTTATGCAGGCTCTTAGCAAAAACACTGGCAAATGCAGCAGCATGGACTAACACCTAGACTCATCCAAAACTAGGAATTACTTTGTTTGATGTAGGTATCCAAGATTTTCCTGTCAGCTTAAGTGGTTTACATCATACAGAAACATATTCTTTGTGTGTGTATCAGAGGAAGTCTGCATCTCTTCTTCTTATACACGTGCAAATCCAAATAAACCAGGTCAGGCAGACTTAATCACAGTATATTAAATATTAGCTACCAATCACCATTTTAGGGTGGTAACTGAGATGTGACTTAAAGCTAAGCATGAAACTCCAGCAAGAGTTTCACAATACACTAGACTGCAAAAAGTTTAGTTTTTACTACAGATCTCAGAGTCTAATGCAAACTCTTGCCAAATTTGATGAGGATATTTTAATAAATTACAGAAAGCATTTATAATCTGTACTGAATATAAAAGCAAATTACCGAGACAATAAAAATCTATAAAAATTAGGCCATCCTGCCTTTGCTTATAATGTAGTGTTTAAAAACTCAATGCGTTACTTAGCCAAGCTAACACCAGACTTTGTCATCTGTACCTCATCTTTATCCCAACTGTCCTGCCTAATGGCAGGACAAAAATCCTTCTAATTGATTCTTTTATCACTTATTCCACCAAAAGAAGCAAGTTGTGCACCATAACTAAGTCAAGTCATAAAGGTATCCTCACAGAGGCATCAATCTAAACGTTTCTAAATGTTCATGCTGGAATACCTAATTTATTTTAGCTTTAAACACATTCCTAACATCTTTATTTCAGAAGTCACTCACACCCTCCCAATGAAGTATGTCAAATAAAAATATTTAGGTATCTTCCCTGACTCATACTTCAAAAATGGAACAAAAAATACACAACACAAATTGCATGAGCCCTTGAAGAAAAAGAGGGACATGTTTCATTAATCAAAAAAAATCAGTGTTTCTCCATTTTCTCATAACTACCAGATACTGAATGATGAAGAAATGTCATAGAATGAATGTGTATTTATGGGAATTCATACTGAACAATGTAGGCACAACTTCAAAGAAGTGTTTGAAATATGCCCTAGTACAGAGTTTTCATTTAATTCTAAAGCTCAGATTGAAAACTTTCTTTCTTCTTTTCTTTCTTTTCACATTGACTAGTGTCTGATAGACAAAAACTCAATTGAGTGATATCACACTTAGGTTTGCTGAGATTCCTCACTCTATTTAATGCAGCATAATCTGTAAAACTAAGATAAATAGTTTGTGCTCACTGTAATTACAACTCCCCTCCAACCGAATTCCACAGCCTTTCTAGAATTAGTGTTCTGTTGAACTAAGTCACAATAATTTACATAAAATGCAAATACTAACTTGCATACAATAAATAAAACATATATAGTAAAAACCCTGGTTATCAGATTCAGATCCTAATGCTGTATTTGTTCCCCCCAGCTTTCACATCCAAAGTTCATGAACCTCCCTGCTGGAGAAGCTCTCTTTTGCCATATGAACTGCTGGGTGTTCAACACACTAGCTACAATCTACACCTTTCCCATTTCTACTTTGTTTTTCACATTTTTACTAAACTTAGAAAAGCTCTTCTGAGAGCAGTGACTGCATCATTCTTGAGCACAGGGGAAACATGTCTGAACAGAAAACCTGTACTTCAGAAAACGGGCCAGAGAACAAAACAGAATGATTCTAATGCTACAGCTCCTTACCTTTCCCTCTCCTCACCCACCTCTATTATCCTGTAACACAATTACTGGAGTTTTATATCCATCTCTCTTTACAGAAAGGGCTTATTTGACACCTCTATACTGCAGAAATGAAGGTTTCAAGGCAAGGACTGATGATAAATGAAGCATAATTAGTGCACTGTCTCTCAGTCCAGGGCAATACTGATCATATATGAAGAAACAAAAACTGTCTTACCGTGCACTTTGTGCTCATTGTAATGCTCAGGGTGAAATCTGAAGAGAATTCCAAGTCTGGAGAGGATGCAGTATTACAGTCGATATGCTGTCAAAAAGAATAATAAAATTCTGTCAGTAACAGTGATTAATGTCAATTAAGATCTCCCTTTGGATGAAGGTTGTTCAGTCGCTCCCGCAATAGGACAACTTTTATAGGGCAATACTAATTCAGCTCTCCAAAAATGGAAGAGACTTACAAACCATCTAATTCCATGTGACAAAATACCTCTAACTCCTTTTCCTCACGTGCCCAAATAACCAGACACTGACTAGCAGTGGTATGAAACTAGACACAGTAGCTCATTCTGTTCAGGGAAGTTGCTCCTTGGTGACAGCTACCCATTGTTGAGTGTAAGTAGCTTCCACAGGCACCTTTACCTGTTTTACCCCTTGTTCCTGCAGTCACATAGTGAACTACAGTATGACACTGATATGGGTTAAAGCTGGCCTTTTTCAATTTCCCAGACTGGTTTTGTATTGATCATAGAATAACTCAGGTTGAAAGGGACCTTAGGAGATCACTAAGTCCACCGCCCTGCTCAAAACAGGGTCAGCTACAGCAGGTTGCTCAGGACCATGTCCAGACAGCTTCTGAAAATCTCCAAGGACAGAGACTCAGCAACATCTCTGGGCATGCTGTACCACTGCTCAAATGTCCTCACAGTAAAAGTGTTTCCTAATCTTTAAAGGCAGCTGCCTGGAGATCAATCTGTGCCCACTGCTTCTTGTCCTGCCCCTGAGCACTGCTGCAATGAGTCTGAGTCTGGCTCCACCTCCTGTATTCACCACCACCACCAGGAATTTACACACATTGGTAAGATTTCTCCTGAGTCTTCTCCACACAAAACAATTCCAGCTCTTTCCACCTCTCCCCATATCAAAGATGCTCCAGCCTTTCACCACCTTTGCAGTCTTCAGACTCACTCCAGGACAGTCACCTCACTCTTGCATTGGGGAACTCAGGGTTGGACACAGCACTACAGAATTCACCTCCCTGGGGTACAGCCAGCTCCCTGGGGTGCAAGAGAAGATGCATCTCTCTTGAGCTGCTGGTCCTAAGTCTTCTTCCTAACGCAGTCCAGGAGGCTGCTGGTTGTTGCCTTTGCCACAAAGGTGTGTTTTGCTGGCTCATGGTCCACTTGATGTTAACCCAAATTCCTCTCTGCAAAGCTGCTTTCCAGCCAGTAGGCCCCCACCCTCTGCTGGGGCTATTCTTCCTTCCCCTCTGCAGGATTTTGCACTGCAGAAATTGCAACTTTCATTTCGATAGTCTAATTTTTTACTTTTCTATCTATCTGAAATCAGAGCTTTCATAGAAGAATAAGATTCAGTTTTCAGCTGTTCATAACAATTCCACCAGATCTTTTCGCTGTTCTTTAGTTTACGTACTTAGTTAAAAATGCTTTATCCAAAAATATCATATACTGCTAAAGTTAAAAGCATATATGTAGGCAATCCAGGAGACTCCTGGAATGCATGGGGGATAACTTCCTGAGCCAAAAAACAGACAGCCCTATCAGAGGGAATGTGATACTGATGGTCACCAACATAGGCAAACTAACTGGGGACATCAAGACTGGAGGCAGCCTGGGCTGCAGTGATCATGCACTGGTGGAATACGCAGTCCCAAGGGATATGGGTCAGGTAAGGGGTAAAGTTAAGCCCCTGAACTTTAGGAAAGGGAGTGCTCAGAGCTGGCATGTATTTAAGGAAGTCTCCCACAGTGCACAAGAGCTGGTAATCCCCAAGAGCAAGAAACTGAGTTCACCCTCAGTAAGCTGAGCGGTGCAGGTGACACACCTGGAGGACAGGTGTGCCCAGAGGGGCCTGGACAAGCTACAAAATTGGGCCTCTCATGAGGTTTAACAAGACCAAGTGCAAAGTGCTGCACCTGAGGGTGGGGAGGCCCTGGCACAGGTTGCCCAGAGAAGCTGTGGCTGCCCCATCCCCAGAAGTGTCCAAGGCCAGGTTGGATGGGGCTGTGAGCAACCTGGTCTAGTGGAAGGTGTCCATGGCAGGGAGGTTGGAACTGGATGAGCTTTAATCCAAAGCTTTCTATGATTCTTCACATTGCCTCATCTTCCTTAGGGAATGTTTTGCTTCCAGAAAAGTTACCTTATGAACTATATAAAACAAGCAGCACCTGATCTGAACAAACACACCAAAGTATCTTCTGCAATAATCATAATGATAAATTGGAACATTTTTAAACTTACCCTACAAAATATAGTCCATTTGTTCTGCGGAATGGCTATTGATTCAAACAATTTACCTATAATGCCACTGTTGCTCAACTCATCAATTTTACTACTTTGCATTGAAACTCCAGCAAACGAGCACATGCATTGATTTTGAGTTATTTTAAAAACCATGATGGTTAATGAGAACAAATGAGCATAAAGCCATTAAGCACAACAGTTATGCTACAGGCTGCATGATGATAAAATTTGCTAAGCCCATACCTCTGAGCTGGACAGTGACTTCTCATGAACAGCATATGTATTACAAAGAGACATGTGTGCACTATTACTAGTAAAGCATTTTGCTTCTGAAACGACCATGGCTTATAAACTGCATTGGACATATTTAACTTCAGTTATTGTTATCAACACTCTTCAGGCTGATATGTTGTTTTAATTTATTTGCTTGCCTAACAAACCGATCACTCACTCATTGCACCACCAAACCTGTCAAATGGCAAACAGTTACTACTTAGATTCTCGACCTCGGTACCTTTGTTTCATGCACGTTCATTCACTAAGGCTGGAATTTACCTTCCCTACTATGACAGGACTATAAAGTGTATTTCAACAATTGAGTCTCAGCACTTCCTTTATTTGAATACCCAGTTCAGAAAACCTAATACCTTTAAATCTTCTCTGTAATAAAAACATAGACAAGAAAAGCTTAAGTAACTTGCACTTGGATATATTTACAACTAAGCTGCACCTCCCCTGTTTCAATACATTTAGACAGAAATTACCTCCTTGTTAAACAGGTAATTCCCACTGAGGGCAGTAATATTACTGCTTTGAGTGCTTTATAGTAGAAAAGTAACTATATGAACAATAATTAGAATACCATTGTGGCAAAACGTTCTTGGTCTAGAATAGCCCTTCTCTCAATTGATCTGAGCTGTTCAAACTATTACTAATCACAAAGTTCACCACAAGTTCAAACTAGTCAGTGCTCTGGAACATGTGGATGTTCTCTCATATGAATCACTACCAACTTTGCTGCTATTCCTCATCATAACACTGCCTTACAAGAGACAGGACAGAAAAGCAGGCATAAATAATTCAGGAAGTACTGTAGGAACTACTGCTCTTTCAGCCCTGGTTATTTAGCTGGATGAAGCTTTGGGTGATAGTGAGTGATGGTTCAAAGGACCTGTAACACCAGCTATCTTAACACAGAAATAGATAAGAAGCCCCTTTGCTCAGTACACTGGGTGAAGAGGGAAGCAAAGTAAAAGAAGAGACTATATTACAGTTTACATTCCAGTTCCACAACTTGTAACCTACTAAAATGCAAGTTAATTTGGGGTTGGATAGAAGAAAACATTGGACAGAACAACTTAAATATGGGAAGACTACTAAAAGCTCAAAGTTGGTAAAAAAAAAAAAGCAACTGATACAAATCTTCCAGTCTTAACAGCAAGAACCTTATTGCATTTGTATCATTTTGAAGATGCTGAAGTTTGTGTGTGCCACCTGCATTTTTTCCCCCTCCCCCATAAACCAAGGAAACTTCTAATCTGACTACTATTCATTAAGTAGTATGGTACCTTAATGACACTGGCTGAAGATATCAGTGTGTTTGGATCCAGCACCTCAACAACAGCTTCTGGAATTACAGCTTTCTTCATACAAGACATGTTGAAGCCATATACATCTTCCCAGAAAAGTAGCTTGTCCATATGTTTATTCATATCCCCAACAGCTACCAGACTAATGGTGCAAATGTCAGGATAAACTGTAAAAGAAAGAGAGTAGTGAAATTTTATTTTAGACACACATAAAGAGGACTTTTTTTTTCTTTTCTAAGTGATTAACATCTTAAAAGAACAAACAGAATAAATTTTTTTAGCTCTTGGACAAGACACTTTTTCTGCTACTTTACTTTGTAGAGTTCCATTAGTCCTCAGAGAAGACTAGACACAAAAATTTAATAATATTTCCTATTCATGACAAAACACCTTTGTAGTTGAAATCCTACTGCAAGGAAATGATCAGAAACTTGATGTCTGAAGAAAATAATTTGGAATATCCTATTCTGGCTTCTATACAAAGACTGATCTAAAATATATTTAATAAGTGTAGGCAGACACTCAAAAGGAAAATTCAGGTGAGGGCTTTGCAATAACAAGAAACCTCTTTGAAAAGACCTTACTTCCAGAAAAGAGTAAATATTCTTACTCAAGAGTTTTATTCCTTTTTGTTATCAGCTCTAGCTGACACTTGCCTTACAGCCTAAAAAATTATTTCTGGGTACTGGAAAAGAATAACCACTTTTCTGTCTGCACCTGAAGTGTAGGAAGTGAACCAACAGACAGCAGAGAACCTCATCAACTCCCTCCCCCCCACTTTTAGGATAACAACTATCATTCTTACACTATCATTCTTTACATTTGTGCCTTCCTTTCTCCCAAGAATATCTTCAGAAGAGGTAACTATTTACAGCTTTTCCAAAAGTAGTGGAAGACTGACATTTGCCTTTTCAACAGCTGCCAACAAAGTCAGTCAACCTCTTGGCAATCTCAAATGATTGGAAAACCCACAAAGAAGAGTTGCTATGAACATGGCTGTCTATAGCACTATCAAATAGTAAAAGAAACTCAATTTATATTTAGCAAGGCTTCTTTTCACAAAGACATTCCCATGGTTTTTTTCTTAAGAGTATTAAAGCCTCTAAAGCCACATACATTGAATTCTGGATCTGGCTTCAGAACAAAACGCCTGCTAATAAACACCTTATTTTATTTTATTTTATTTTTTATTAATACATGAATGTGGCAGTGTTAATAAAACTGAAGCTAAGTTTCTCTTTTCCTCCCCAAAATCTGGTGAACTGTAAAATTAATTTTGTCTTGTGCTCTGTTTAAAATTATAGCTTAGCAAAATGGATATGGAGACATCATTGGTATGGCATGGTAAGTCAGAAAAGCAGTACCTCCTGCCCTGTACAATGCTGAAGACAGAAACAACAAACTGAAATAAGACCTTTCATATAGCCAGAGTAGTTGTAGCCTAAACAAAATAAATCTTATAAATATTGATGATAGAGAATAGTTTTTTTTAAAGAAGCTTTTTTTTTGTTATATAAAGACTTGAAAGTAAACACACTGTCATCTTTCTCACTTTCTGACTGTTTAAAACAGAATGAATAAATATCAGCAAGTTTCAATTGGAATCCTATCGGTAGGCTATTATCACCCCTACTTTGCAACTGAGGAACCCTGAGGAGGTTTCTCCAGGAACAGCCTACAATTAACTCAGCAGTAAAAAGGCAGTTTGATGAGAATTCAAACAGGAAGACATTCCAACTGCCTTGTCTGAAACAAATCCCTTGGTTCCAGCACACCTGACAGCTGTCACACAAGCACAAAACATCAACATCTGGTGGTAGGAGTATTTGCAGGGAGATTCTGGAGCCATCAGTAAGGGATGTCTAATTCTCAAAGCTTTCATGCTGCTGTTACCTGGTGTAACAACTGCATCACACTTGGCTTTACCTCACAGCATTTCAAACCTTCAAGAACCACCACCGATGCTCCAAAAATTAAAAGACAGTGTGACACGGACAACAAAAGCAAATGAGAACAGCCTTTGAGGGACTATTTTTCAGGGAAACAGACTTAGTAGGATGCAGTTGGTATGGTGAGAAGAGAGATGAAAAGACTGGCAGTCTGTAAATAGGCAGTCCCTATTTACAGAAGACACTTACGTGCTAGAAACAGTGCAACAAAAATGAAAACCACAGTAACAAGTGATCAAATACTTTATGATCTTCCTTTCTCAGACTAGCTCTAATTTCTGGGACATTCTGTAAACAGAAAAGAAGTTTATCAACCTCTATCAAGCATGAAATATTTGAACTGGATCATAATCAGTTTATATTAAATCTCTTTGTTCATACAGTAAATCCTTAAATCAGCAGTGGAGCTCATGATCGATTGTACAAAGTGCACAAGAACAAGGACAAATGTAAACACTAAATGCTCCAATCTAATCTGCATTTTTACTTTAGTCTATTAATAGCAACAAAAGTAGACAATGTCTGTTCAGACTTCACAAAAAGAAACCTGTGTTCCACCAACAGGGCTCAGGTAAAGACTGCAGTGATACATTAACTTCTGAATTTACAACCCCACTCACATCCAGAAGCATATGCTATACTGAGGTTTGACTGGAAATGTAAGCAATGTTATCTAAAATCAGCCTAAATCATCAAAATATTGTAGAGTTTTGTAAATGTTTAAAAGCATCTGCACAAACTGCATTTGCCATTTCACCACTATCCTCAATTCCCTTGGAAATCCTCTGCTCCTTCTGCAGCCCCGTAACACTTCCCTGTGCAATCCTGACAGACTTGCCTTTTTTTTTCCTCATTCAGCCTTTAATTTAATAATTATTCCTCCTTGCAGGTGAAATGAGCAAAATGCTGATTGGACAGAAGCACGCACTCCTCAGAGCTCTCCCAGATTCATCGCTTTGACCATCTGTGTCCTTCTCGACTCGGTGCCCACAACTCATCCGTCACCAGGAACAGCTCACGTGGCGAGCAGGATATGACGGGAAATCCTTTATCCCTCAGCAATGCCTCACAAACTTCAGGACGCTGAAGGGTAAGGCAGCAATCCTCCAGATACACAGAAATAACTCTGTGTGAATACCACCATCGTTTTGATGTGAACAAGCAAACGATATTATGTTTTGAATGACATCTTCCTTGCCCATGTCACCCCTTACCAATGTGAGCTGAAATCAAGCATGTGAAAACCCCTATACTCTAGCAACAGCTCTAAAGAACAAACAGATGGGTCCCGGGCAGCAAAAATTTTATGTTCCCAAATAAAGCTATTAAATACTGTACACATTACCCTAGACAGTTTGGCATAATCCACTTCAGCATGCCAGTAGGTTAAATTGAAGTAATGACGATATGACTGACTGAACACAAATCTAGAAATTTGGACTCTACTCCCAGCTCAATCACTGAGAGATCTGGCCAAGTCACAGCTGCTTCAGTTGCTTTTTTCAGCTTTCAAACCTCTGTAATAACGATCTTGGGCTAATAGTACCAAGTGGCTTAAAACAAAATTAAGCAGATTTAGAAGTTCTTCTGGTGAGACTTCATCTCAGAGTGAGTTCTTAGTTTTGGTTCATCTGAATTTGCAAGTGCCAAAGTTCTGCTGCTGTTCATCTCCACTGCAGGAGAGTCTGTGTTGCTAAGCTGATGGCTGAGCAGCTTTCTCACAAATCCTGGACACAGCCATTGACCTGCTAGACCTGCTGGCAGCAGAGCAATAATTGCAAGCACCTTAATGAAACAGTGTTAACGAAAATTAAAATCTGGCCTTACCAATCAGTGCCTGTACAACACTGTGTGCTTTGTGAAGAGTCAAAGAAGGGCCCAAGACCATTCTCAGACCACAAAGGATATGTGTATTGCAAAACCAGCACATCCTGTCTGCTCAAAGGAATCTTTGGGAGTCACAAACCAATAGCAAACTTACCATCAATACAGTTCAAACACAGATCAAAAAATTTTGGCTCTTTTCAGAAGGCTTTGGAAATAGTAGCTAAATACAAAATGATTCCTTATGATTTTAGGGAATGTCCTTGAATTTAATTGTGTCACAATGTAAAATTATCAGCATGTATCCATACAGACCACTCAGTGTGTTCCTGATCTGGCTGACTATTCTACATTACTGAAAACAAAAAAAGCTCTTACTCTGTCATGTTGTTCAAGTGGCTACTAAATATTCTAACACATCTCTTCTCTGTATATTCAGCTTTGTGACCAAATGTTGAACAACTGCACAAATTCCCTTTTTTCGGCTCCACTCTATAGTGTACAAAAGCTCACTGCAATCAAAGGGAAGCACTGCAGCAAGCCCTGTGACACAGTCATTAATCCAATCATTAAGTCAGTGTAGTGAAACTATGTGCATGGTTAGCACAAAGGGGGAAAAAAACCCCAGACTGATGACTACGATTGAAAAGGTCAATATGAAATACAATACTGACAAAGGAATTAGGCACAAGGAATAAAGCACGTGCAGAACTTGTGCAGAAAACTGCATCACACGAGGAATTAATATTTACTGACACTTAAAGAGTGCTTCAGATGACACTGTCTAAGCTACTTAAATGGGTAAAAGAACACTACTTCAAAATAAATCCTTTTGTCACAGCCTTACCCTCCAACTATAAAGAAAAAGAGCATATTACCACCAGGATAAACATGCTGAACTGAAACAGTCTAATTCCACTACTTATTTCATGTGGTCTCTTGTGTTTGAAACTGTGTCCTCCCCCACAACGTTCCTCTCCAGAGAAACACCCTATTGATTTTTTCTCTAATCCATAGTAGCTTACTCAAACAGTATCACATCCTACAGGATAGTATTTATTTTCCTCCGTTCACAGTTATGCAGAAACTGGGATTTCGGGAGTGGAAAACAAATGCCCACATGTGTGGGAAGAATTTGGGAGGAAAAATTTAGACTGTACTTAAGAATAAATAAGCCTGTCTATTCTTAAAAACACCATTAATTTGAGACCTTGATACCCCATCTAATGTTCTTCTATTACCCATACAGTAAATTAATGCCTTGAAGCTCATATTAATGAAAACATTTTTCATTGAGACTGGCAACTTTCTCATCCATGCATAGCTTACTCTAAGTCTCTGAGTTCATTTAGCTTCTCCCCAGAGCTGAATTTATTAAAAGAATTGAGCACCAACCTGAGCCTCCCTCTGCCAGGTACTTGTCCTTTGCATAGATGACAGAATCCAGCATTGACTCAAAGAGAAGGAAATAACCCTGTTTATAGAAGAAGGGAAAGAATTTAGAAATCATTATACTTCCTATGCAGCCTATTTAATGACTCTACAGATAGATTTTATCAACACATTTTAAGAACTTTATATGCCCGTTTGCCTCAAGAAGAGCCAGCACCTGGTGAGTTTCTCAACAGCAGCGTTGTCACTTCAAACTTCAGTTACATAAAGTATCATACCTGTAGTTTGGGATTAATTAGAGATGTAGCACACACTAAATTAATAAACTATAGACAATATATATCCAATTTACACCAATATTTACTGGAGAAGAGTCCTACAACATCAAAAGAAATCAAATTCAACTCCAACCAAGTGAAAAGCTGCATGTATTGACTTTTTAGTAATAACTGGGAGGTTAAAAAAAAAAAAAAATCCCTTTTAGTAACACTAAAACTTATTGTCAGACAAACACCAAATGCATCTTTGCTACTTCATATTTGCAACCTCGTGGTGCCCTGTATCACCCTGGGCAATGCTCACTAAGGCAGGTGGAAATAAATTGTGTACCAAAGACATTGGTTCTCTGGGTGTTTGACATCATTTAGCAGCATCTGGACTTACAAAAATTTCCAGGATAAAAATGGTTAGAACTAGATTTGCACAGGGTTTTTTTTTGTGTTGGGATTAATTTTCTGGCAGGTTAATCATACTGCTACTGGTGTTTAGAATAACTCATTGTAAGCTTGAGTGAGTCATTTTCTGAAACAGAAAAACGTTCCTTAAACATTTGAGACATTAAAAAACCCACATGGCAGTATTAAGTAAAATTAGCATTTTATAGGAAATATCCAGTTTCTCAACTACTTTTAAATAAACTGCAGATTTATGAGATATACAGCCCTTTGTTTCCCAACAGATTTACTGATTTTATACCCTTCCTGTCTTCCAAGTTTGACTATGATCCTTATTCTTAACTCAATACTGTAAACATATTTCACCTACATCCTTACAACATCAAATCAATTAAGACAAATACCAACACAGGTTTTGAATTTTCACTTAACATCTTAATTCTCATTTTGCTTAAAACACAGATTAGCCATATGGCTTGATCAGGAAAGAACAAAATGGACAACTGAAATCCAGATTTTAGACCTGCAGTCCTACAAGCCCAGTCAGCAGTAACCTAAAAAAGGAAAGCTAAGAAATTGCACCAGGGAATTTTGGATTGGATATTAGGGAAAATTTCTTCACTGAAAGGATTGTTAAGCACTGGAACAGGCTGCCCAGGGCAGTGGTGGAGTCACCATCCCTGGAGGTATTTAAAAGACGTGTAGATGTGGCACTTGGGGACATGGTTAGTGATGGGCTTGGCAGTGCCAGGTTAATGGCTGGAGACTCAATGATCTCAGAGATCCATTCCAACCTAAACAATTCTAAGATATTTTCCTCCATTTTTCCTACCCTCCCATATTTGTGTAGTAATTTTTTTGAATTTATTTTTTATTTTTGAAGTCATCATCACACACTACTGAAGACAGACGGCACTTCATGAAACTGCACTGCTAAGACTACCAAATTTACTTCAAGTTTGTGCCACCTTGGATGTTAATTTTGCCTAAGACTCTTAGAACAAAAAATGCTGCAAGTTTAGAATTGCACATAAACGTCACTACCTGCAGCTTTCAGGATCAAAAACAAAACTGGAAAACCCAGAAACTTGACATATTTGTATTCAACAAGAATATAGTGTGAAAATAATGGCCGTGTCCTCTTCTCAAACCGTTTCTTGTGGTAACGGCAGAGCTCCACTGGAAGCTTTTCTTCCAAATGTTGCCTGTTCTTCCACTGTACTGCCCAACTTCTGTAAGTCCTTAGAATAAGTCTCAGAACAAAGACTATTGCATTGTGAGTAAGAGGATTGTTAGTAAGCTTTGCTGAACAGCCGAAAAGGCCAGGAGCTCACCCTGCACCAGGCAGAGATTATTTGATACCTACAGCAAGCCAAAAGCACAGAATTGGAACCACAGTTTTTATAGTATTATTCTTACAGTTTTAAAAATAGAATATGTTTAGCTAGGAAGAATTATTTTTAGATGCCTTCAACTGAAAATGATTTGTTTTCACCATATTTTAAGTGTAACCTCTAGGACATACATTAAGACTAGTTAACAGCAAGAGTCAGTAACAGCAAGAGTCAGTCACACTTTTATGGATCAGCTCTTCACTTCCTCCTTTCTGCCCATCACCTATGTGTGCCAATCAAGTGCAAGAAGCAGAGCTGGAAGACACCCTTCCTCTTGAGAAACACAGAGAAATTCTCACCATCCTTTCCCTGACCTTTCCACTGTTGGTTCTCCCCCAGCTCCCAGTTCTATCGTCCCCTGAACTCATTACAGCCTTCCTGCAAGTTACATAAACCATCAACGGTACTGAATCAAGTCATTTATTACTTATCCCAAAGCACTGTGCTCAGTGTGCTGTGCTCCTCCGTGGTGTAATCTGGAATGTAATTTCACAGGCTGCTGCCCCACCTGTAGGGGTGCTCCTGGAAAACGAATTATACCTGACATCCTTTCCCCATGATGCTGTGGGGGCACTGCTGCTGCCACCCCAATAATGCTCAGGGGTTTGCTTTTTCTTAAGCATGTATTAATATTCTCAAAATTAATTACTCCAAAGAGATCTCCAGGATACAAATCTGTGAGCTGCAAATTATTAGTACGATTTTGATAGTGGCTAAACTAAGGCACATAAAGGGTGACACTTTCTCTGTTAAGACAAGCTGAATACACAGAACATCTTAAATGTTATACTGTCATAATGTGCATCTTCTACTAAAAAGCTGGCCATTTCCTTCTCAAAGTGAACATAAAGTTCCTTATTTTTTATAATTTGCAAAGCTGAAAGGAAATGTTCTCCAGATAACAACAAACCCCCATATAAACAGATCTGGACAGGAACAGAAACACACAGCACTCTGGAGTAACCCCTGCCCTACCTCTTGTCTGCCCAAGACACTCATCAAAAATGCTTGAGCCCACTAGCATATCTGAATCCAGAAGAATGTATTGCTACATTTCTTTTATATATCCTTTGTATCTGTATTGTGTGTTCATAACAGAATTATAAAAGGCTAACAAAGCTTTGATGCCTTAATATCCTGCATTGTTAAATTTTTATCTATGATTCAACTACACCACAGCATTCTTGCATTTATTTTCAATTTAATTCAAAGCTCCATAAAAATATTTTGCCAATGGATCAAAACATAAGTATGGCAAGTTTTTGTAACTTCAGTGCTTCAGTATTCATCATGATAAGCTTTGTGGAGAAAAAGAAATTAAGCTCTTTAAAAGTATCAAATAGTGCCATTACCATGTTTACAATAGCAAGAATTAGCAGAATTTTTGGTACAGCAGAACAAAACATGTAAAGATAGAATTGCGAAGAAATATTTAGCTACTTGAAATAAGGGTTGTGTTTCCCCTCTGCCTTCTATCAAAGATGCATTTATTATTTTCTGTAACATTACTGAACCTGGTCTGGTTCTCCAGATTCACTAAGGTTTAATACTAAATATTTAATGAGACGAAAGGTCAAAACACTGGCCCAGAGAGTGGATTTTATATTTTTTAATCCCTAGTGGTAGAAAAAAGTGCATTATTTTCTTAAGCTGAAGTTTCTAACTACAAGATTCCCACTGGCCTACAGAGTAAAACACGTTACAACATGCAACACAGATTGGACAAGAAATTATGATTTCAGACAGAAAATGTAATCTGGCATTAACAGATACACAAAACTGATGTGGCCCACTCAACGATGTGAAAAATTACTTTTTACTTGACAAAATCTCCCCAAAAGCTGTGGTGCATTTAAATGACAAGCAGCAGCTACACAAACTCTTCTGCGTGCTCTGCTGCAGCACCATTTCCCACATGCTAAGTCAGCCTTCATGCTGATCTCTCATGTATGATTTAATTTAAAAAAAATCAAATTCATTACTGACAGAGCAAGCTCACAAATTTCAGAACCACAGCTTGACTTTGCCATTATGCACACCCTGTTGTGCCCTTAAACAAATAGGAGTGAGAACACCAAATGGGAAGACATGAAGAATAGAAAAGTGATATCCATTACTGGTGTTGGCAAAAAAAAAGAAAAAAAAAAATCAAGCAAGGAAATTAAATTCCTTTACAAAAACCATTTTGCTATAAAGAAAATAAAGCATTCAGCTACTTAGTATGCTCTTCACACCAGAGTATTAAGAACACAAAAAAAGAAAAGCTCAATTCTCACGTATAGTTATAAATTATAACTGTTACATAAATAGAGCACTTGTATTAATGCACCTCCAAATATTAAAACAATAGAAAATATTAAGATTACAGAATGACTAGTAAGTGTTAAAAAAGTGCCATCACTGTGTATCTCATAGAAATAGGGGAAAGGAGGAAGGAGAGAAAAGATGGTTTCCAGCCCTTCAGACATGTTCACTTCCTAGTCCTTTTCCCTAGATCCTGATATCCTCAACCCATCATATAATTTCAAAATTATCTGAAAAAAAATACAAAAAGAAGAAAAGAAAAACAAGGGAAAAATATTAGCTATCTGACCAGAGATACGATTAAAAGACAAGAGTACTGGATTGTATCCTCAGTTTATTTTAATCTGACAGTCCACCTCTTTCTGAGTTTTAACTTGTACAAAACTGCTGCATATTCAGTACCATAAAGCAGTGCATAAAAAAACCAATTTATGAGAACACGCTGTACACTAACATCGTATTTGAGACAACCATCTCAGGCAATTGTCTCTCACAATAAAACCTCTTTACAAACAAGAAATGCAGATATTTTTCAGGTGAATAACTCTTGCAACCTTTAGTTCTGTAGTATTAGCTAGAGAAAGGAAGCAAAAGCATACTGACAGCAAAAAAAAAAAAAATCTGCACACAGATGCAGCTGTGTAGGAACATTCTAGAAAAGCATTACATACATTTTGTTTCTTTCTACATTCGTCCTTTCAATAAGCAGCCTGTGAAGTTCACGATTTCCCTACCAAAATACATGAGCAATAACACAGTCACCTTTTTTGTATCTTTATAGCAAATATTTTCCTGCCCAGGTAATTCATGTAAGTTTACAGTTTGAACAAGTAAGAGATTTTTTTGTAGGTGACCTATGGTATAAGCAGACAAGCAACACAATGTTAAAGACCTGTAGTCACTAACAATAAAATTCGTAGTTTCACAAATTAAGGCTTTTAAAGGTTTCACACTGAGCCAGGCAGGATGGTGCATCGGAAGCTTGAAGTCCTGATGCAGAGTATCGAAGAATTTTGGTCAGGGAAACTTCTACAAAAACAAGGCCAGCAGGGAGATCTTCCATAAAATTCACCCATTCTTACATTCAAATAACCTTTCTCTATGAGTTGAAGGCCTTTCTCCTCACAGACTCAGTTTGGTTGCAGAACATGCTGTGACTCGGCCACTCTTTCTTAAGGCAACGTGGCTTAAAGTGGGTGAAGTGGTCCTCCAGTCCACCTGCTCTCCCACTGTGCTCCTGGTCCACAGCACACAAGAATCCCTTGCACACTGCACCAAGGTTTTGCTGAAAACAATATACAGCTGTCTTTGGAATGGAAAAGTCTAAATGGATGATCTAAAGGTCTTTAGAAGTCTGACAGGCCCTCAATGTTCAGCAATTTGCCTTTTTGGACACCAAGAGAACAGCTCACAGCTCATCACACCTCCCACCGTGCTTTTCTGTGCTTTACACACCGGTTTTAGTTGAACACAATCACAGAGATGTCCTGCTCATGGTCTGATTTTAACATTGTCAAACACATGTACTTCGGATGTCACAAACTGCATTTAGTACATTAAAACCAGGATCACTTCTAATTTCTTTCACAGCCTTAAATAAAACCACTAAAGAGACAGTTGCTCATCACTCAGCCTCTAAACTTGGCACATGACAAAACCATATCCAGGTGAATTTAAAATGGGAAAATATTTCTTGGAAGATGGCAAGTATACGTTTGAAACATAAATTTCTACATATACACACATGCACTCACACCTCCCTGTCCATTGTATAATATTTAAGATACTTCTCTCACTTTTCCATAGTTTAAGGGAACAAATTTAAAAATGAAAGAGAAGAATAGCAAGCATTTGTGAGTCATAGGTCACTTCTGCAATTAAGAGAATAATCATCAGAAACTATTACACTGGAGATGCTCATAATGCAATGCTGCATCTTTTACAAGACACTGTTCTATGTGACATCTTTTTCAGAAAGCCTAATCTAAAAACCAACCCAGGAGAATGTAGTATTTTTCTTCTCTGTCGCCTCACGCTTTTTTTTTTCTGATTTCACATTTTCTGATGCTCCAGACACAGCTCTAAAAAAGTGTACTGTTCTACACCAAGCAAAACAAAGCTATGGCTCCACAAAAGGGTTTGATGTTTACTAATCTAAAAGCAGTTTGTTTCCTAAACAGAACAGCAACTTTTCATATTTCTGGTACAAAGAAAAACAACTGTTCCCATGAGAATTTTCCTGCCTGTCCATACAGATTCTCTCTACGTAAAGAGCCAAAAACTGACATATACTGAACTCCTTTTTCCTCTCATGCTTCAACATTTTCCACATTTTCAAGCACTTATATTCACATATTAACAGATTTCACAAGGGGGAAGGAAATGAAAAAGCAAATTCACACAAGGAAGCCAGACAAAGAGAAATCTTCATCTGCATCTCAGCAACATAATGTTCTTTTCTGAACAGTGTTGAAACAGTGTGTACACTGTCCAGCTATCAATCTTACTTCCACAGCACTGTCCTCTTTATCTCTGTATTGCAGCAACCTATAAAAATCCTAACATTCCTAAATATTTAGAATGCCTAATTTAGTGAAATGCACATGGCTATGTAATTATGACATTAAAAGATAAATCAGCACACAAATGAAAAACATGGAACATTCAATACTTCATTCCCTACAAGAGACGGTTTTTGAAATCCTTTACTTCACCTTAGAGGCACTGATTTACAACATGACTTCAGCTCAACTGCTCCAGTTCCTTTTAAAACCAAATCTTGGGCTCTAGAATGAGAGATGTGATTTTTGGAACATTAATCTTTGTGCACACATTAGGCAACTGATCAAAGGTTTCTCTGAAAGAACTGTAATTACATTTCTAGTGAAGGCACTATACTGTCAGAAATCACCAACCATAATGTGCTATTTTTAAACCACTAGTTTAAGCCAGTGGCTTAAACCTTCCTTGAAACTAGTGACCTCAACACTAAACTAAGCTTATGTTTCAAATATACATTATAGCAGTGGAGGAAAAACTGCAGATTTCCAGCTCACTGAAATAAGAAAAAAAAGAAAAAAAAAACACAGAAAAGGTAAACCAATTTATTTTTACCTTTTCCTGGAAACATACAGATAGATACATATGGATCCATAGTGAATACTTGACCTCTCTCCCAAAAGCCCTTGCATATAGTAGAATGGCCACAGTTTGTAAAAAAACAAAACTCACCAAAGAAACAAGCAACTTTGAAAAGTTTTTGTTATTGATCTTAAATTTGAAGCAGAAAAGAATCTTTAAGTCCCAACAGCTGGAACTAGCATGAAGAAAACCTGTCTTTTGAAGTGCTTTTTGAAGGTCCACAATATGAGGAGACCGAATAGCAGAAGTTCACAAAAACCCAGTTACAAGAGATGTTTCCTACCATGTTGTTGATAGGGAACAGGCATTCAGTCACTGTGAAGTTAGCCTGGCGCTGGGGCTTGTAACACAGATTTCATTGTTAGGATTAATGGCAGGTAGCAAGCACAAGGTGTGTAACAACTACCAGCCAGCCCATGAAAGAAAGGGAACAGGCCAACAGCTGAAATCCAATGGATTCCAGGAGATGGCTCATTTAGACACTGCCTTTCCTGCTGTCCACCGTATTTATTTTGTACTTTTAAAATCAGTAACTTTATTGTTACACTAAAAAAAAGGCAGTGAATAGTAACACTGTTTTCAAGCTCTGCCTGTATTTGCAGATTTCCAGAGTAAGCACCTCACCTCCTTATTGCCTTTCCCTCACAGTCAGGACAGTCCTCAGCTGAATTTGCAGACTAAAGGTATTTTACTCATCAGAATGACCCAGCTAGATGACTAATACAATATTTCTCCATTACTTTCCCCTGAGCAGTGATTCAGGAATGGAATGCTTTAGAGATATGCAAACCAACTACGTAACAGAAACTTACTGCTGCACCCAAAGCAGCTCAACTGTACTTAAGAGAACCTGGACTTTAAAGAGCTTGAACAAGAGAGATCAGGAACTGTATCCAAATACCACATAATTAGGACTGCCATCCCATCTCTCACATTGTCAAAGACTACTGGAAGCATGACAGATGTTTCGGTTAAAAAAAATAACATCACTTAAAGAATAACTTTTCAAATTAAATAAAACATTTTTCTTGAAAATAACTACACCTTGAAAAGAATATTCATGCACCTTACCATCCATTCAGATACAATTACATCCACTTTTTCCAAAGGCAGATCTACTTCTTCGATTCTTCCTTTGACTAATGTAATAATACTTTCAAGTTTATTTAATCTGCAAGTCAAAACATAAACAAATTAGTTTCTATTTGATTTATGCTGTCAAGAGAGATATACTGACATCTATATTTCACATTCCCCTCTCCCACCTCGAGCTTTTTCTTTTAACTAATCTAGAAAGCAGTAGAACATAATATTTCTCAGTTTTATTTCAGAGGGAATATTTCCAAGCAGCTAAAATTGGCAGCAGATTAAGTGCCAGGCAAAGATGGTAGACTAGATCTGTATATACCTCCAATGTGCCATGCATGCAAATGTGTAAGCTTCAGAAACCAGGAAAACAGAGAAGGGGACAATTTAAAAATGATGGTTCTCTCTATTTAAAAGCTGCTTGTTCCCCTTTCTCTTCCTTTGACCTCTACAAATTGTCATCTACAGCAATCAGAGCCTACTCACCACACTAGGATAGCAATGGAAATTAGCTTCCTCACAAAGCTGTTTTGCACGACTTGGTTTTTTATTTAACCAAACCAGCTGCAAAGTCACTGAGAACAAACATTCCCTCTAGATCAGTATTACACCTATTCCACAATAAAGGCATCCTCCCCACTCTGATTTTGGGCAAAAGCATCTGCAATGTTCAGTACCTGCAGGAATCAGGTGTTACCTCACATGCACGTAATGGTACAACCATCCCGCACAGGGAAGGAGGTTCTGAGACGGGACTATGGGTTTTGAAACAATAACTCACAGCATTGGAATTACTGAGTATGTAAATGCTTGAAATCTACTATTTTTCTTCTTGGCAAACCATACTATAGCCTTTCTTCCACACACCTTTATTACAAAGCTTGTTTCTGCTCTTAGGGCAGAAAAGTCTTCTCACCACAGAAATTTATCTCCCACCTGCAGTTCTTATCTCTGCCCCTTCCCTCCTTGTCCTGATATCTTACTCTTACATTCTGTCCAGCTTTCAATGCAGATCAGTAATCACATTAAAAATTCAATCTCAAAGACAATGGGAGAACGATCAGAATGAAGGGAGGGAAAGGAGAGGGTCAAAGGGCTACTTGAACATGTGGGCTGTTGCAAAGATCAATTAAATACTCTACACAAGACAGTCTTCTGTTAGAAGAGTAGCAGTGCATCACTAATACCATATTTAATGCCATAAATAGAAGTAAAATCAGAAGTTCAAAGTGAAAAATAAAATGTTAAAAAGCTACTACCCACAACAATAATTTAAGAAGGATAAAAAGAGATCTAAGGATAACTTCCTAAATGACCACAAACAAGGACACAATTTAAACAAAAGAGAAGAAAAAGATTAATTCATTACATACTTACTTTCAATTATAATGTTTGAAAAAACCTCAAACCAACCAATGTAGTTTACACATTGTAGGAAAAACTGCTGAGATGCTATTTAGGCAGTATACTTCAATTTTCTATTCTATCATAGCAGTGATGGAGGACAAAAATCAAGTCATCCACTGCACTAGAAATTTTACAGACACTATTCATAGCAAGAAAAGGCAATCATTTAGTTAAAAGGCAGTTTAAGGCTTGTCAGGCTACTTATTCCAGTTTACTTACACACATGAGTTGCACTGTTTCCAGTAATTAGCATGCTACAAATTAACCTAAGTTTTGGGAGAGACAAAAGGTCTCAAGCACACACTTGAATCACAAGTGGAAGCACACTGCAACAGTAATTTTTAAGCTACACAAAGTTGTTTAGTATTCCAATAAATATTTGTTACTCCAGTGCAAGTTTGTCAGCTTTATTCCCTTAGGAAAAGTAGGTTTAACCAGACAAACATAAATTGTTTTGATGCAAACTGGAGACTTTAACGTGAACAGAACTCTTTATAGCAGAAGGTACCTATAAATGTGCAGCCTCACTGATGACTTGCTGTGTACTTCAAGTGGCAATGCATCACTCTTAAGAGTTTAAGAGTTTTGATTCATTGTTTTTCTTAAAGGCCTGCCCTTTTCCTCACCACAGGTAATACATTTTGACTGGTACTTCTATTCTCCCCCAAGTATAAACAACATTCAAAGGACTTGGAGCACCCGTTGAAAGATACGAACAATCCTAAATTTGTAATCTAGTACATTAGAAATAAAACCCTATTTCACATTTGTAACCATTTTGAAGATGTCAGGGACTCCTGGGAAAAATTCTCTTTAAGGAATTCTCTTTTCATGCTAGAAAAGCATTTTAGTCAAAGACCCACTTACATGCTTAACATGGTACTTTCCCCAAACAGATATTTAATTAATAGAATCACTTTATAGCATCCAAGTGTGCAGTGCTGCACCACCAATGTGTGAAGTGGTACCTAACAAATTCAGCCTAGACAATGTTACTTCTGTACAATTCAAGCTTGTATTAAAAAAAACCTGTCATTCTCAAATTCTTCAGCATCTACCTGGACTTTCTTTTTCACAGTTGCTCATACAAAATCAACCTAAATGAAAAAATCTACATGCCTTAGCTATCAACAGCACACATCTACACCTACATTTCTCCTACCTCATGCTAGGAAATACTTCTTAAGTCTTCAGATGTCACTGTTTCATTTCAATATATGGTCACAATCTTCCTTAATATCCTCCACAGGTAAATTAGTGACATGTGGAACGGATAAATGAACCATGAGATGGGCGGAAAGCTGTCTGTACTATGAAGTTCAAGAGGTGAGAGGAAGAGTACAAATCCTAACTGATAGCCAGGTACCAGAGGTGTCCCTCAGGGTTCAGTGTTAGTTCTGATACTAATTAAAACTAATTAATGTAGTGACATAATGGGGCAGAATGCACCCCGACCAAGTCCGTGGATAATGCTGAATTAGGGATGAGCAGCTGATAGGGTAGGGATCTTATTTTCTATAACACAGGCAAACTATAGAAATTCTAGAAATTATTTAAAATTCCTATACAGAAACAGAAAATTAAACAACTATACATACACACACTTGAATAACTTTCACTGAGTTTATCTAAATATGAACTTTCTTTAACTCCAAGGAGTGCAGCCACGTAAAGTTTTTCACACCTTCTTGGTCTCCAGTGCTGTCTAAAAACTTACAGTTTTATCAGTAGCAACATTTAAAATGTAAGAATGGCAAATGGACAGGCAGTATTCAGTTGGAGCCTGCGCAGTCAGGCAGCACTGGCCCCATGGTACCATTAGGAAGAAGGTCTGTTTTAATTACCCCTACCAAGGGGGCAAACAACTTTATAAAACGCCAAAATCTGTGCTATTTCTTTAGGCAAAGAAGGGCTTCAATAAAACACACACTGTGATAGGTGATCATTAACTAGCAAAAGCATTTTAATAACTTTTTACAGTAACATTTACCCTACTTTTCTTGGAACTTTTCCTACCTAATGATGTCCATGGCCTGATAGATGATTTCAGATTGGTCAACTCCAATCACTTTCTTCGCACCTGCTTTGGCAGCAAACATGGAGAGTATTCCAGTTCCACAGCCAACATCCAAAACCACCTGAAAGTAATAAAATAGAAGTAAAATCATCTTATTTTCCTTGCTATGACTTTTCCACACTTATTTCCATGTCAGTGAGAAAACATATTCCAACAGAAGGAACAAATGGTAGCATCAAGTTTTACTGTCACATGCAGATACTTAAGTCAAACTGCTGTTCTAAATCCACACCCTCTACCACCTTTTCCAGATTGAGAATTGAAGCAGATGAGCTGCAGATTAACAACCACAAGCAATTATTTGGGCAACTAAATGTTACATGAAGAGGAGAAAAAGGAATCACTAATAATTGAACTTAGCACTGGTACTAAAAAAACATATTCTAACTGGTTTTCATTAAGAGTCTATTCAGAAGCTTTATTTAGGAATTCTCTGCCAGAAATGGCCACAGTGCCCCAAAACAGCTATGGCTCAAGATGACTAATTTCAAAATGGTCACTGGCACAGTTTTAACACCTGGAAATATTTTCTGTCTAGCACTGTTTATAATCAAAATAAGACCAAAAAAATCCAGTAAGATTTCATGAAAGAAGAGTAAACTTCATCACCACACCTGAAAAAACAACTCAGCTCAGCAACAAGATTCATGAAAATGCCTGGGGTTTGGTATATCACATATTAGCTACTGTAGGAAGACTGAAAAGACTGAAAAAATGCGAAGCAACTAACAAAAGAGTACCAAATTTATTACTAAGTAGAGATGAGCTGCCTGCAATGTTAAACCTCATAAAGAGAGATTTTACCAAGCAGCCTTGTTCAGGCCTTGCTATCAGAATAGTGTATTTCTTCTACCTGCTGCAAACTTTTCAACACTTAAAAACTGATGAATGTGTTACAGTAGATTTTTAAGCTGAGTTTCAGGTTTGATGTTTTCACAGAATCGCTGAAGCTGAAAGGCACCTCTGGAGGTGATGAAGGTGCATTTTATTGCATTGATCAGATCATCAGAGGTCTTATTGTTAGAATTCTACTTAATATAGCTAAGCTTTACTAATGGTGTTAAAAAACTCTCAGCACTAAACCCCAAAACTTTCTGAAGTCTGAAAATCAAAACAAGTTTCCTAAACACTTGGTAGGTATAGCCACTCCTACCATGTATAGCATTTAAGCATTAACAGAACCAGAACCGTAAAGAGAGACTTCCCATATATGAGACTCTAACATGAGAGTAAGTACAACCTCCTCAACACTTCTAAGTCAACCAGAACACTGAGTTAGAATTATTAGTCATAGTAACAATTTATTAGAAAGGAAAATTTCTTTCACCATCTCTCCTCTTCAGAGCATCCACTGCTGTGAAACTCATCTTCACAGCTTTCGTGACATGAATTTTTTTTCCAGAGAAGGCACCAATTTCCTCAAGAATCAATCCCTCCTTTGAGAATTATAACCCCATTTTACAAAATATTTTAAGGCAATAATGCATCCTACTGAAACATTTTTCAGCTCATGAGCTACTGAGCCTTCTTGCTTCAGCACAACAAAGCTTTGCATGTGCACTTTTACATTTCACCTGCAAATAGTATCCAAGTGAACACTGGAATGCGCTGCACCTTAGGTCTGCCTGCCTTCTCTTGTCTACAATCCTATACATGGATACAGAACAATGATCCTGATGCCAGCATGAATAAAACCAGCTGTTTATCCATAGCAGTACAGCGTAAGTGAGCTTCTGCTGTGGTGTTCTGGGAAGCAATGACTGAAGAATTGACTGCCACCTGTCTTGGTAGAGTGACCTACTACCTGGAATCACACTAAAAAATGTTAGTGTGATGAATTTTTTACAGCCCCTTCTGCAGAGGTTGGCCAGGGAAGTTGTGGATAGAGTTATTCGTTCCACTTGCAACTCTTTGCAGCTACATTTCAAAGGAGTCAACTCTACAGCCCTCAAGTTACATATGAATATGTTATGGCTACAGAACTCTCTAGGCTGAATCTGCTGGAGACAGGAACAGAAAATAAAAATCAATATTCTTGCAGCTGCTGAAACCTCACACCCCCCAACATCACCTATTTTAACACTCTTCCCATGGTAGTTAACAAAAATCACTGAGCCATGAAAGCTGGAAGTCACAGCCAAAATTAAACCCCTGTGAAAGAATGATCTTGATGTACAGTTGCATGAAAGAGAGCAATCACCACAAACTGGAAAAAAATCAAAACAGACACCACTTTGGACATCTGCCCTGGTCACTTAAAAAACGCAGATGGAACTCATCTAGCCTTAGGCAGGGGACGGGGGTGGAGAAAAAGGCACCAGAGAGAAAGTATACAAGCTGTAATACATCTGAGGAACAGAAAGACAAGTAGAATGATCACCAATTAGCCTAAGGACAATGGTCTACAGCTCACATATTCTTGTGGTGATCACATATGGCCTCTCACCAAAGACCTGGAGCAGCTGAACTGGCGATTTGACTATACAATAATACACTGCAGCACCACCTCCTTCTCTGCAGTGTAATCAAAAGTGATATTCTACTTTAAATAACAGAAAAAATTACTTCTAATTCAGAAAAACAGGAGGTCAGGTGATTTGGCCAATTAAATCAATTCCATCGATGAACTCTTAGTAGGAACAATGTTTTAAAAAATCTCATTTTATTCCCTGAATATGGCATCGATCTTGCCTCAGACTTCTATTCTACCACAAAAACTAAGCATGGCAACAGTGCTTTACTAAGCTATTTCTTCTACCCAAAAATACTCTCACAGTAAAATGGACCACGTTTCCTTTTACTGAGTACCTTAACTACTCCTGCTAGGTAACCTAAATTGTCCTATTCTCATCTCAAATACATTTGACAGATTGAAAATAAAGGCAGCAAGCAGGATTCATACAAGTTTTAATAATTTATTTTGAAAGCTGAGTTCTGAATAAAGTATGCCTAACAAACAAACCTAGATATTCTGTTCCAATCTGTCACCATGCAACCACACCTCTTTAGGATACAGCAGATTTGGATCAAAAGTGAGTACAACAAATTCAGCTCTTTGAACAAGCTCCTCCCAAACTACCTCACAAGTGTTCTTTTAGAAACAATAAAAAGCACCGCCCTGTATTGTGCAGGGAGAAATAAAATATGGGAGTTCTAGGAAATAGAGTACCAGAATTTTACCCACTTTTAAAAAAAAAACTGTAAAGAAACTTTAAGGGAAAATAGCCTTTTTCTTTAAGTTGGAAGTTTCATTCATTAATATGGTTCTGAGAGCATTATATGATATATTAATTTAAGCAAAATATCTTCATATTTTCTTCAGCAGAAGTCTAGAACTCTGAAAAAAATCCCCTATGTTCTCCATAACTGTGTAGCATGTGAAAGCTACATCAATGTTTAGTCAGACACAGAAGTCAAACAGGGCACTGGTCACATGGATGGGGGTTATTGGGAACTCAAAGCAGTTGAGGATCTGCCTTTCAATTCAATCTCAACACACAATGATGGGTTTGTATCCACTACGAATTTGAGGTAATCTTGATAAAAAAAATGTTGTAAAAACCATGTTCAGAAATCAGTTGTAGATGTTGTGATAACTGAGAAGGTTTTCTTCAGAGAAGTTGAATGCTTTCACAGCTACAGAGTAAGCACATACATTCTCTCAGCTGTTTCTTGAGCAAATGTATCTACCTTGGGGGCTGAAGCAACATTGACTCTAACAGTTAATCCATGGTTTGTTTTGAATGTTTCCAGTGTGTTCATACAGTAGAGGAGAAATACAACCAATTCAGAAAAATTACTGTTCCATGAGGACATACATTTCATGTAACTTCATATCAGTCTTGCCCTGTGAAAACCTGCAGTTATCAATTTCAGGGGCATCTGTGAAACTAAATTTCTCCCAGGAAAGTTTTCTTTCTTTTATTGATTTTTCTGCTTTGGTGTATGAGCTGCCCACCTGTGCAGTCACCTGCATCAGTTAAGTAGCTGGCAGTATAATTCTACAACATTTTCCCTTATTTTTTCATTGTAACTAAAGAGTTCAGAAATGTTTAACAGAAACAGGCTTGTGACATGAACTGAGACTAAAAAAGGAAGAAAACTATTTCCTATTTTTTTCTGCTGTAGTTTCCAACTGAAAACTGAAGTAAGATACAAAAAATAGCCACTATCAACCTTGAAACACCTCCTGCCAGGGCAAAACTCTCTCTCTCACCTCTCCTACAAAGAAAGGCTGAGAGAATTGGGACTGTTCAGCCTGGAAAAGAGAAGGCTTAGGGATGTCCTAATTGCAGCCTTCTAGTACCTGAAGGGAGCCTACAAGAAAGATGGAGAGAGACTAGTTACAAGAGCATGTAGCGACAGGACAAGGGGGAATAGATTTAAACAGGAAGACAGTAGGTTTAGACTAGATATTAGGAAAAAATTCCTCACTGTGAGGGTGGTGACGCCCTGGGACAGGTTTCCCAGAGAAGCTGGGAAGTGTCTGAGGCCAGGCTGGATGGAGCTCCAAGCAAGCTGGTCTAGTGAAAGGTGTCCCTGCCCATGGCAGGGAGGTTGGAACTCAACGATCTTTAAGGTCCCTTCCAACCCAAATCACTCCATGGCTCTATGAACTCAAAACACAGCAAAGTAATCAGCCAGCAGAAGGACAAGGGACAAGAAGAGTATCATAACTGTACAGGGGTCACAACCACTGTAAGGTCATATCAGTACAATCCTCCTCACTGCAAGTGAAACATCAGTTCCTCGTTCTAAGCCCTTTAATAACAACCTACTCTGGAGACACTGAACAACACTAATTCAAAAATCAGTTACACACGAATTCTTTTCCAGCTCTAATAACACAGGGCTTCCAGGACGTTTTTATTGTATCAGGCATACATAGAAATTCACTTAATTCTGGTAAAGAGGCCCTCAGAGAGATTCCACCTAATACACCGGACAAGAAAGGCTCAGCTTCACCCCACCAACATAATTAATGAGCATCTCAATGTGGCACACAGCACAGTGACAATAGCCATCAGCACTGCTCTTATCAGCACTGTGCACCCTCCAGCAGCTGAATAGCTTTCCACCACCTAATAAAGCCACAGTACATTAAATCAAATCTTGTCACAGTGCCATTCTCCATTCTCAGAGCTACAAAGTAGCCAACCTGAAGGTTTTCTACCATTTGAGAAAAAATAAACCACAGAAATGACTGTATTTTCTGAGCTGTTTTACCTACCTTGTCCTTGAAGATATGTGGGTTTTGATAGATGAAGTCACGATAGCTTTCTGTACGTACTTTATCCTGTTATTTAAAAGCAAAAAGTGTTCATTTTTTTCACTTAGGTACAGCATGTCATTCAAAAATACTGAAAAACTTCTTTTTAACCTGACCTAAAGATGTTTTGTGTATACTGTACTTACAAGGGCTCTGCAATCATGACACTGGCTATGTAATATTACTTCAAAATTTACTGTCTTTGCAAATGAAGCCAGTTGCCTCAGCTGGATGAAAAATAAGAAATTAGCTCATGATTTCCTGACCTGCTGCATTTCATTTTGAGTGTTTCAAAGTTCTTAATACCTCTTCATCACTTCCCAGGAACAGCAGAGTGGCAATACTGCACCAACTTTACGTAACTTCCTCTATAATTTGAAACATTCAAATCACAAGCTCATAAAACATTTTGTATCATTTTATTCTCTGACTCTCCTGTGACACAAGAGATTTCTTTAAAAAAAAACACGTTATGCATCAAATTAACCTGTTCTATTTCTGAACAAACTGCAAATTTGCAAACCTAGCTAGCAAATAAAGCTGTACAGCCCATTCTATAAAAGTCAATATAGTAAATATATTTGACTGTAATACAACAAGGCTGGAGAAGCTGGAATGTTTTCAAGCATAGAATGAAACATTTACAGTATCCTAGTATATCAAAGGTAGCAATATGGCTCAGTTTACCAGCAAGATAATCTATTAAAACATTGATTGTCTTACCATGTATCAGCAGGTACACAAACTGACAGCCAAGTATAGGTTTTGGAATTGCTGTTGCAGTTCAAGTGTTACAGTAAAGTAGAAAAAAATTTTCAGCAATTTTTTATCTAGTGCAAATAATGCTGAAGGATAAAATCCAAGTGCTTATATTAAATCTAATATTTTTATACAATGGTAAGGTAAGAATTTTTAGAAACAGCAGAGAAACAAAAGAAATTTTCTACAGTGAGAAGGAACAAAGTCTATTTTGATAGAAAATTAAGATCAAAACCAGTGACTGAGAACAAAGGCTTTGTCAATAAAAAATTTGGAGACAGAATTATTTTGAGGCTTGAAAATTCTAAAATCCAGTTTTAAATGTAGAGGTATTATCACACATAACCCAAAGAAACAGGGTTGATTTTAGAAAATTCCACTTTAAAATTATACATAAGTAATGAATAAAAGAAACTGTGATCCTTGAAAACCATATTGGTTTACTATGATGTTATATTCAGAGCACCTATTTTTAGAGCTTCACCTCTACTGCAGCATATCACAGGATTTTGCTGAAACGACCAAAAAAGTTTAAAAATAAATAATCAAAACTGGAATGTTCAGCATCAACTGAGAAAGCAGTCAGCTGGAAATCTTTCAGCCTTACATCCTGCCCACTCACACTGCCTCAGCACTGCCCCAACTGAATCAATACAATTCGAGCTGCTGCCTCCAGTCAGTCACTTCAGGTGTCTCTGTCCATCAATCCTGCTCTCTCACTCCACATTTCCACGTGATGCTTTTTTGTTTTGTTTATAAGTAAAATGGTAAGAACATTTATTAAAATGACAGTCAAGGAATTCTTGAGCAAAACGGCAGAGCGAGGAAAACACTTGCCACTTGGCCAGTGTGAAGTAACAACATTCTTCCTCCCACCCCTGAAGTGTTTGCAGAAAAAAAAAAAAACAACCCAAACTGAAACTTCATCCTACCACTACCAGGCATAAAGAAAAAAAAAGGTTTAAGACTGAACAATGTCAGAAACAGATTTACAATTCAGACAGCAAAACTCCTTTCCTAAAAATTGTCACGTACCAAGTCACTACATTTATGTAAATAAGGTAAACATGAAAAGAAAAGAAAAAATCCAAGTGAATGCCTACCATATAAGAAAAATTTCAATGTACACACAATGAAAAATAACTGGTGTTGTATGCTTTGGAAACTCAAAAGTCTTCCTAAAAGCTTTCTGAGAAACGTACCCTGAAATCAATAAAATACAATTTTGTACCAATCTCTTTGTGCAGAGATGTAGACTTATTATAAACTTTACTCCTCCTATAGCCTATAACATCTCAAATGTCGGCTTTACACCACTGCAAAACCAAAACCCCATCATTTCTATCTTTCTTTCAAGACTTCAGTTATATTTCTATAGACTATGTATTTTGGAAAACATCCTTCTACTTCTGCAGCCATGTCTGTGCTTCTGTAAAATCCCCTCCCCTTAATATTAATCTCATGCTTATTCTTATCATAGATTCACATGCTTTTCTACATTGGGCCCACTAAATGATTTAGAAAGCTGAAAACTTCTTGTGCTAGCTGCAGGGACAAAGTGACTTCACAACTCTGTATTCTACCTTTACGTTAGACAGGAATTTTATTTAATTCTGGCTTAAAATGATAAAACTGTTTATAACTTTCATAACAATGATATCTTCTCTGAAAGGAAGCATTAAGAGATTCTCATTTACATGTCAATTAGAAGCTATTGGGCTTTCTGTTTTTTATTTTAAAGTTAAAATAGGCTTGCCTTTGAAAAGTTTTATGCATTAATTTTATCTTTATCATACAAAAGGAGCACACTTGTTTTTTCAGCTGTTCAATGTCATGTTATAATACACTGAACCAAGCACAAGTACTAATTTCTGTTTACCTAGTGCAATAGGAAACTACAATATTTGAGAAATGGTCTTGCCTAACAAATTTCAATTGTTAGGAAAATTTAAAACTAAAGAAAAATATTCACTGTCTGTACTATGTTTTATCCTTTTAAGCATGCAGGAGAAAGCTGCTTTCGGCAAGGTCAGGCTGTGTTACTGTAATATCAAGCATATCGGTACGTGATTTCATGTTCCTAATGCCTCCCGTAAACAGAATTTATACAAAGGAAGTAAAACTGGAAAAAGATCTCTCAGCCCAATTCTTGGAGAAAAAACTATCCTGGATAGAAAGGGTTAAAAATGCAGCTGCTCTGCAGTATATTTATGGGCACACAGCCCACTTCCTTCTCTCTCCTCTTCAGTCCTACTAAGATGCAGGTGAGGTGATTTTCTAACCTTTAGCATCTCTTCGTGTATCCCATAATGCCCATAGGAGCTGAAGTAAACACCATCCTCATCCTCCTGAAGGTCTGCGATGGCGCTGGATGATGAGCTGCTCCTGACATCTGTGTTCATCACAAAATCCTGGGCAAATTGTCTGTAATCAATTTGAAATATACCCTTGAGACATGTTTATGGGACCATGAAAGCGAGGGGGGGAGGGTGGGGCAGAAAGGGCTCGGAAGAGGGAAGGAATCCAGGCTGCTCAGGGGTTTGCCAACAATGGGCCCGGCTTTAGGTGTGCACATCCTCCCTCTGCAGGCTCCTCCGGGCTGCTGCACCACTGCAATCCCTGCTTTCTGCTTACAGCGAGCAATTATTCACAGTGAAATCCTGAGATTTAGTTTCTATTTTTAAGGAAGGATTATCTATATTTTGCTCGCTGGCACCAAAGCCAGCACCACGGTGCTCGAGGTGTTTCAGGCTGTGCAGTGCAGATATGGACTCAATTGAAAGAGCACAAGAACTACAGCCCACACAACACTGTGTGACTGGTGGGAGGCAGAAGGAAGTATTTTAAAACTGAGCATTTGGGTGAAAACAAAACAGAGCTTAACATTCAATTCGTTACTTTAATTTCATGCTGCTTATTTTTCCTCCTCCGTGGTCTTGCATTCCTAAAACACATGAGGAAAGGTTGAAAGAATTGGGATTGTGCAGCCTGGAGAAAAGAAGGCTCCAGGGTGACCCTTCAGCACCTGAAGGGGCTACAAGAAATCTGGAGAGGGACTTTGGACAAGGACATGGAGTGACAGGACAAGGGGGAATGGCTTTAAGCTGAAAGACAGTAGACATAAATCGGATATTAGGAAGAAATTTTTGACCAAGAGGGTGGTGAGGCCCTGGCACAGGTTGCCCAGAGAAGCTATAGCACTTCCACACCCTGGAAGTCTTCAAGGCCAGGCTGGATGGGGCCCTGAGCAACCATGGCAGGGGGGTTGGAAGTAGATGACCTTTAAGATCCCTTCTAACCCAAACCCTTCCATGATTCTATGTTCCCTTATTCCTCAAAGCAGTTTTCATGATAAAATACACAAATCAAGAGGTTTATAATGAAAACACAATTAGAAACTGACAAGCAAACAGCTCATACTACACCCCCAAGTAAGTGAAAAACGTCACATGCCAGACAATATTCCTCCAAGGTCTACAGCCCAACAGCAACAAAACTTACACCCTAGACCACTTCAAAGCCACCAACACTTACCTTTAACAGTGATCATACTTTCTTAAATGGGAACTTGACATACAGAAGCTGTAGGTAACACCTCATTACCAGTACCAGCTTTATAGAACATCAAAACCAAAAAAACTATTTCACCCCTGGTATATCAAATACCTCTCTACTCAACTAGTTTGGATGGGGGAGAGAATATGGTAAGGGAATTTGTACTAAAATTTTGTCAGTATCAGCAACTTCCTATACTTGTCTATACAGGTCTGAATCTTATTTTTAATATTGCTCTTTGCCATGGCAGTTTGCATTTTCCTTACTTTTAGATGACTATCTAAATGATAAAAATTTAAACTTCAAAAAAAGATTCCAGGTCATACAATTAAGTATAATTAGCACTGTGTGAGATTTAAATTATTTTAAATTTAAAATTCTTTAAAATGGATTCAGCCAATAGTTCCTCAAGCAGACAAATGCAACACAAGCACCAAAGAAAGTCTAGAGACAGAGCTGCCCTCCAGTGTTTTTAATCAAGAAAAATGGTATGTAAAGACAAAAGCCATAACCTCTGAACAGGTGACAGGTTAAAAAATTCACCATATACAAGCCATGTTCTTATATCTCTAAGTTACATCTAGTGCCAGAGGAGACCTGATTTATAGAACTGTTACCATCTTTATTTTGCACAGGTTTACCTGAAATGAAACATCTGCAGATGGTCTCTTTCCATGGAGGAACCTCCAAGCATAAACTAGTAGCACTGTGAATTACAGCACATTAACTACTACAATGCAACTGCTTCATCTGTCCATAATTTAAAACTGAGCTGCTTCAGCAGATCTACATCTGGTTACTTTTGCTGCCAGACAAACGAAGAGGCTGCATTGCAAAGGAATATTAAAAGTCTCCCTCTTACAGGAGCAGATAACTTGATACACTAACCTCAAAAAAATAATAAAAATCTATAACCTTGATTGAAGTTTAGAGCTCAAAAGAAATTGCTGCTGATGACCTGAAGTGGGTTTTTTGTTTTAAATGAAAACGAATGGAACAAGAGGAAGACAAGAAGACATAAGGAAAAAAAAGGCTAAGTTTTCAAAGCACAGTGCCAAATTCGTTTCATTCTTACTGTTTATGATCAATTAATGCATAATATACCCAGAGACACCAGAAAAGCACTGTGTGCTATGAAGTACAATTTGCAAAAGGCAAACCCGACTGAAGACAAACCTCCTTATTTTTGAAATAAAGAATTGTTCACAGCTGAGAAGATCTAAATACATGAATTTATTTTGGTCTACTTAGTTACTTATAACACCAAGTGTGTAATATCAAAATGTACAAACCCTCAAATGTATTTTACAAGTCTTTTGTCGATTAACTTCCTTGCAAAAGAACATGAATTATTTCTCCAAAGTCTCCTAAATACAACTTCAGTTCTTCGGTGCCCAATCAGTGTAATCTTGAAATGACATGTTTGTACAGGATTCGATCCTACATGTCCCATTTTATCCATGAGCATCATCAATCCATATTTGGCAGACCTCAAGATTTAGAAGTCAAGTGTACAGCTACAGGGATGTCCTGACTCCTGACTGTGATGAACTGAATATTTTCACTAACAGAACCCGCATTTAAGACTGAAAAGTAGCTGAAAAAAGTTGATTTCTTAATTTCACTGAGAGTTTCTCCAGACTGTAAGTGGACTCTACCACTAACAATCATTGTTTGGAGCCAACTCTGACAACGTTTGGAGTCCCGTATTTAATTTGTCAGTCTCTGCTCCACTGTGTACATCCTCAGTGTTTACATTCTTATCTAAAGGACTAACAGAAAAGTGTCTCAAAAACTAAGTGGTCTGAAGCAAAATACATGTTTCTGAGCCATGTGCTTGCTTAGCTTTCCCAAGCGTACTTTGGTTTTTCAATCTACGCAAGTTTTGTGCATTTTTTACTAACCCATCTAAAAGACATTTACTGACCCTCTACAACGCACAAGTCAAACCTGCAGTCCCAACACAAATCAAGAGGTTACACTCTACAACATCTTTGAATTTCTATTGTCTTCTCACCTAAAACACACCAAATAAGAACACCCCAAAACTTCAGTTCAAACACTTACTTCATTTTCTGAAGATCCTCCTGTGCTCTAGCCAAGGCTGCTTCTGCGGCTCTTGCTCTGTGTTCTGTGTGTTTTAACTGTTCAAGGAGCACTGTGGTATCATTTAAACCATTACAGGGCACAACGTTTGCAGGTTCACAAAGATCTTCTATATCTGATGAAATGAAGAGGGACAAAAACCCACCTACCAGTCATGTGTTGCTTCACAGCAAATCATTAACATAAAATGCTATTTCTGTCTTTGGATGATTTGTAAAAGTGGGTTGTTTTACAAAAGACATGATTGAATTTAACAAGACTAACTGCAGAACACAATACGACTCAGAAAAAGCAAATATGCTAGAAGCATGCTGTAAGTTAATAAAGCAAATAAATCCAAAATTCAGGCTTCTTTAAATACCAGTGTTTGATTAACCATAGAAGAGACATTTGGTTTAGAGTATAATTAAGTTAATTACAGTTCTATCCTGCTTTTTTCCAATTAGGTTATTCTGAGGCTGAAAGTGCTGTTAACGGTAATGGTAAAAGGTAAGAAATTATATAAATTTAAAATATCTTAGTAATTAGAGAGTAACTCTTAATTTTCAAACCAATTCCTTGGGCTTTTATAAAGCTTACAAACACACAAAACAGAAGAGCATAAACAGAGTGAATCTAGATGAAACGCTGCTTTTCAACTACAACGCAGACTCAGCACTAGGTCCCATTCACCTCTTGCTAAATTCAGCTGATTTTAACAGGTGTCAGTGGAGAAAAAAAAATGATGCTACTGTGGTTTTGGATATAGTAGGAAGTTACTGCCAGCTGACTGAGCAAAAGACTTAACTAAAAAAACCATGTATCTATTCTTTTTAATCATGGAAGACTGTTTGAGCCATGGGACTGAAAGAAAACATTTAATATTTCAGAAGTTCAGCTCACGCCCATAACCCTTAAGCAACTGCAACTGGCACATCAAAGCACCTCAAAAGTCTATAACTCAGGCAAAGAGCACACATTAGGCAGGAGCTGATCCAGGGAAATGTGAACTCTCTGAAGCAACCAACTCATGTCCTCTAGCAGGCATTATCTCTGCTCCCATGCAACAGGGTTCACTTAGAAAGGGGCAAAACTGCATTCCAGAGTGTAGAGAGAACAAAAAAAATCCACAAGCCCTAAGCACCTTATGGTTTAGCTGAAAGATGTGCAAGTATAAGAGAGTGAGAGGATCACGGGCAGCAAAAATAATTTCAAAAGTCAAACCGAATTCTCTCAAGAACATCTGACGAACTGTCATGAGAGAGAAACTAAGGCTGCTTGCTCTGATCCCCAGAACTACTAAAGAATCAGAACTTTTGTAGTATCTTATACCGGGTTGCTCCAAAATAGAACCTGTATAAAAGATGTTTTCAACAAGGCAAATTACTTGTAGCACACATTTTTGAATGAATGCATCACATTTTAAATATCATCTATTTAAATATCTAAATATTGTGAAGCTTTAAAAGCTTCACAAATCTCCCAATGAATGTCAGGTGGAGTGTCTCTTTGACCAGCATAAATACTATACAGAGCATCTCTGCTATGAGAATTTGCTACAATAAGCAAATGCAGGTAATAAAAAAGGGCTAGGGAAATCTCAGTCACTAAAAATAAATGCACAACATGCAGTAAAAATATCAGAGTGTAACTTACTGTCATGACTTCGGCTACTATGTGGACTTTCTCATGTATGTAAATCAACTGAATAACAGTGGCATGAACTCTGACAATACCACATTTACCCTACAGTGCAGTGCAGTCATATTGAAACAGTATTTACCAAACTGAAGGAGGAGATCATCTTCTAGTTCTGGTTTCAGATATTCTTCTCCTTTCCAAGGCAGTGGGCTGCTGAGAGAACTCAAATACGCTCCTGTTGGTTTCTAGACAGGGGAAGAGCATGTAAGCTAAGTTTCTTTGAAAACACCAGCCCTTCAGTCTGATTCAAGAAAAAAAGGCAAAGACCTGTTCTTTCACACATTCAAATATACAGGGTGTTACTGAAGGAACTTTGTAGCAAAGGCTGAGAAAGCCCAGGCAGCTACAGCATCAAGGACTTCAAGTAAAGCACTGATTGAAGGATACTTGCAGGATTACACTGCTATCAGGAACCAAGTTTACTCAGGTGTTTGGCTGTGTCAGCCTCTTAGCTTCCAAGAGGGCTAATCAATAAATCCCAGATGCTAATCCTGTCAGGTGTTTTTACATGAACACTGCTGCAGGGACTAATGTCAGAAACGCTGCATTCTCTCCTGTTTGCATCCAGCCAGTTAATATTTTGTCAGGAAAGGAAAGGTCAGATTCTGGACTTCAATTTTTGCCTTTCTGCGTTTACTCTGCATAGACAGTTATGCAATAAGTAACTATTTGAGGATTTAAGATTTGAGGATTTAAGTTAAAAAGTGCTTAATGAGGGTAAGATGGTATTAAGTTTAAACCTAAACTTCTAGGGAACAACCAAGGAACATGCTTCAAAGTCACAGAACACACAAAATACACCCAGGCCTATCTTAAAATTGTAGGCTCCCATTAGCTTTCCTGATTCTGGCATCATTTAGCAGAGATTAAAGCTCTGTAGCCTGAGGGATCCGGTGTTGTCCTTACTAAGTAGGGGTCTGGCCAGCTCACACCCTCAGGAAACACTCTTTTACACCTACACACAGGCAAGGACTGAGAAACTTCAGTTAAGGACAAGTGAAGCCATTTCTGAAGCAAGACAGCAAAGGCCAAGACAAATTAACAAAACAAGATGATACTACATAGCATGGAGGCTTTTTGCAAGTCTAACACCCTCTTCTGAAAACAATAAAACCCACATAAGTTAAATACAATTTAAATTAAAACAACTTCATATCTAAATAAACCAATCAACAGCTATTTTAATTCCTGTGATTTCTTATTTCTAGAATTACAATACAAAATCTCATGCAGTTATTAAAAAAGGGCAAACTGAAAGCACAGCACCTTAACTCCATATTCCCCAGACACAGATTACAGAAGTAGTATGTGGCACACCTACCTTTAATCTGATGAAGTTTATTAGTTTAATGTATCCATAAAAATTGAGTCCTGAGAGGGAAAAAAAAAGAAAAAAGGGAGAGAGTTTGCATTACAGAAAAGCACACATACTTTACAATTAAATGAATACTAATTGCTTGTTCAAGTGGCCAGTTTCCCCTTGGGGTGTACATCACTATCTAGCGCAGTCTTCCTATCTTAAGCCTGCCATCTATGTTTTTCTTCTCTTTAGGATTAAACTAGGAAATTCTCACCCTCAGGACAAATACATTTGCCACAAATTAAGAATAGAACACATCCAATTGGGGATTATGAACAGGGATTTCATTCATCTGGCAAGCAAGCACTTCAGGACAGACACTAGCTACCCTGCTGATATTTTAGGCTGTTGTTCATTTTTAGCTTTCTGCTTAACAGAAATCACGTTGATTATACTCATCAAGAATACTTACCAACATTGATTTAAAATTGCCACCTAGGCAGAAACAACAGTGGCTTAAGTATAAATATGTACTCTCACCAACAAGACCAAACAAGACCAAAGACAGAGTACCTTCAATTTTAGACAGAAAACAGACCAGATATTACAACTTCACAGGCAGATTTCTAAATGCTTCATGTAGTTCCCATCCTCTTCTCTCACACACTCCTTTTCAGTGAACACTATTAAAACAGCATTTCTCCAACAGTTTCCCTTCTCCTGCTTTCCACTCTTCCTCTATATGCACTAAAATACATATTTTAGGCTCAGTAGCTCAGCACTTACCTCTTTCAAAGCCCTCCCTACTTCACATACATCCTCCTAAACGTACTTTCCTTCAGTCACCACCTTGGCCTAAACACAGCTTCAAGTGAAAGTCAACCTTAAACTTCTCCTAGAAAGAGTTAAACAGACATTGGAGGGTTTGTCCTCCTGTGATCCTTTGAGGGAACATAAGCCAAGACTGCAAACAGCTGCTCAAAAGACATGAGCAGCACAATCCAGCACCTGCTCTACAGGTGGGTACATCCTTGGTGTCTGCTTAGCTACTGAGCCCAACAACAGCATCACTAATCAGGCAAGAGCTCCCAAGATCAGGTAAACCACATAGTGGGCTGGCTCAAGTAGGCAGGGAGGATTCAGCACACCACCACAAGCCACCAGAGATCAATCTTACTTTTGTCACTAGTCAGGAGCTTTATGAGTAGATAAAGCACACAGGAAGCAGCCAGCATAAAGTATAAGCATTTTTCCACATTGCTTATCTTGTTCAATCTTGGAAGTTTCAGCTGCAACCATGAAATCCATTACAAATAAACCAATGCTTGCAATTTATTTTAAATGAGACACTCATACACAAAAGGAAATTACAAGTCATGAAAAAAACTTACCATGTTTCTGGATCACATCACTAACATTAAACTCATGCTCTGTTTTGCAGTGAGAGAACACAACTTCAGCAGAATTGAACCACCTGTAAATAACGAATTATTAAGTATGTAATAACAACACATTTAGAAGTTCTGAGTTCTATATGCTCTGTTCTGACCTACTAGGCAATACATTCAGAACACATTATCTGCTTTTGAGAAGGGATGCACAGGCAACTCCTTATTCATATGCCTCACAAAGAAACTTTTACCTTGTTTGCCAAACATTGTGAAACCAAAGACAACAAACATAAAAATTTTGTTTGACAAAGCCACAAACCCTGTGAACTTTCAAAAATTCCTGGAAAGCAGAGACTCTGTTAAAGTTGAAATCTAAGAACCACATACAGGAGGTGGGTGGGCTGGCTGGATCTGCTGCATCCAAATAAAAACCCTTATCTATTTACTGGCAATGGGAAAAGATGACAGGGAGAAAAAAATAAAAAAAAAAAGGAAAGAGAAAAGTCTCCACACTGCTCCAGGATGAGGGGAGGGGATTACCTTCTTTCCACGTTATCCTCTCCTTCACTCTGGATCTAACGCACCTTCAGCTCGATCAACAAGTTTTAGCTTGAGACAGAAAGTAAGTCTGGGATCTGGAGCTGAAGTGGGGCTGGAAAGGGCTGCCAAAGGAAAGTAGGAGCTGCAAAACAGAACTTTTTCATCTGGGCAGGGGCAGGTTTTGGTTTGTTGGGATTTTTTGGGGGGGAGGACAGGGCATTATTTGGTTGGGGGATTTGTGGGTTTTTGTTTGCTTGTTTTAACAAAAACTTAGCCTGGAACTAGGTTTAGGGCTATGTTATGAAGTATGGGACTCAGTATTTTACACATACACATATATTTATACCTCTACAGAAGTGCCTCCATAAAATGCACATCGTGGAGCAGCTTGAGGAACGCGGAACAATTTCAGATGCTACAGAGCTCGGCTAAAACTAGGAATGTATTACCTCCCTGGCATGGCTGCCTCCCGCGGGCCAAGCCTGGGCGTACGCAGCTCATTCCAGCTCTGCCCTGCCCAGCCCAGCTAAGCCCAGCCGAGCCCAGATGAGCTAAACTCAGCCGAGCCGAACCCAGCCGAACCGAACCCAGCCCAGCCGAATCCAGCCCAGCCGAACCCAGCCCAGCCGAGCCGAACCCAACCCAGCCGAGCCCAGCTCTGCCCACTCCAGCCCAGCCCAGCCCGCTCGTCACGGGTTCCTTGGCCCAGGCGGGCGCAGCGAGAGCGCACCGCGGTCCCCCCCCCACCCCGCGCCGGCCCCTTACCTATCGCAGAAGAGGCAGCGTGTCCTCTGGCCCACGGCAGCGCCTTCCTCCTCCTCCTCCTCCTCCTCCTCCTCTTCCCAGGGCTCCTCGCCGTCGGAGAGCGCGGGCATCTCCTCATCCCGCCCCGTCTCCGTGTCCATGTCCCTCCGCCGCCCCCACGTGCGGCGCTTCCGCCCGCTGCCGGCGGGGCGGGCCGGGCCGCGCGGGCGGCTCGCGCGCCCCCTGGCGAGGCCCTCCGGCCATGGCGGGCGGGGCGGGCGCTGAGGGGGGGCCGGGCCCGGCCGAGGGGTCCTGTGATACCTTTTGACGCAGTGTTGATAAAACACAAAGACTAAAGAGCACAAATGAAGATCATAGAATCAGCCGGGTTGGAAAGGACCTCTGAGATCAAGTCCAACCCTTGATCCAACACCGCCGTGGTTCCCAGACCATGGCACTAAGTGCTACATCCAGTCTCATCTTAAAAACCTCCAAGGACGGAGAATCCGCCCCCTCCCTGGGCAGCCCATTCCAATGCCTGATTACCCTATCTGGAAAGAATTTCTTCCTAATATCTAACCTGAACCTGCCCTGGCACAGCTTAAGACCATTCCCTCTTGCCTTACTGATCGCTGCCTGGGAGAAGAGACCAACCCCCACCGGGCTACACCCTCCTGTCAGGGAGTTGTAGAGAGTGATGAGATCTCCCCTGAGCCTCCTCTTCTCCGGGCTGAACAGCGCCAGCTCCCTCAGCCTCTCCTCATAGGACTTGTGCTCCATACCCTTCACCAGCCTTGTTGTTCTTCTCTGGACCTGCTCTAGCACTACAAAGTTTGCTATTAAAAGTTCAGAAATCTACACTGCTGAGCTCTGTGATGTGAAGGTAGTATAGCAAGGAGTTTTTGTAGCTAATTTTGCTATTTCAATTGTTAGACTTTTTATGAGTCTACTACAGACTCCAGCCCCAAACCCACATCTTTACAAAAATGACAATGAGTATTTTGCTAACCATGGACAAACACATGTTGTCAATTGTCCATCAAGCCATCAAGCCCTCATCAAGTCAAGATGTAAGCTTTAAGAATTCAATGTATTTAGTATGCAGAGCTCATATTAATTTATCATAGACAAAATACTTAATGAATAAAGTTTTCATGAGTGGACCAAAAAGAAGCCTTTTTTTTTTGCTTTCTTTTCAGAATAATGATGAAGTACTTATCTTCTTTTTTTGCTGGTTTAAATTGTCTATGATGACACTAATAAAAAGGTTCAAGGTAAAAAATAATCCAAAGATGATAAAGATGACAAAGTAAAGATACGTGTACAGACTGTTTTCATACTTAGGCTAATCCAAAACCTGCAAAAAAAGGCATAGAAACTAAACCTTAGTTTGACAGTGAACACAAAATATATGCTGGATAAAATTTAGGGCTCTATCACTCTGATCTTTGCTTCTTACAGTCAAGTTCTGATATATCCATTTCACTGACTTTCAATCTATTAAGTTACGTTCTTGAAAAAGAACTTTGCTATCAAACTTGATATTTCATTTTGAAAAATGTAATGGCCTGTATGAATGTAGAATAAATACTGAAGACAGCAAGTTGTGGTAGTTGTGGTATTCCACAAATCAAGCACATCAACTATCAAAACTTTTTACTATATATGCATTTCAGCAAACAAAGAAATTAATGTTCATTGGCTACAATTTACCTAGTTCTCTTATTAATTGATATTTTATCTTCTTTCTAAGTTAATGACTCTCTCGTTTCTCATGCCAATTAGTCTGCATGCTCAGTCTTTCTCTTTTGGGTCGGTGGTCATAATCTCCCCCTTCCAGAAGTACCTTTTACCCAGTCAGAGCTGATTTCAGCACAGTTGCTGGGATGGTTTTATTACTTTCTTCCTTATCTTGGGGGTTCTGCCAGATTTCCCTGTGGCCTGTAAATTCTGCATTCTTTGTGTCCACTGTCGCTGGTACATCCTTCTTCTCAAGACTTGTTAGCCTCCCCTTAGGTCATTGAAACATGTCAAACCCTAAACCTTAACAAGGCAACAATTACTACCAACAAGTAATTTGTTTTTCTGACACCTGGACATCACTTAGAGCTCGTTAGCTGCTCTCCGTTTCACCAATTATGTCCCCCTTCTTGTTGATTAGATTTGAAAGTATACAAAGATCCAACATTAAAGAACATCCTTTCTTAAGAAAATTTTATATATTACACATTTTGCAACAAGACCATGATATTAAGTGCCACAGTCTTTCCTTAAACACCTCCAGGGACAGTGACCCCACCATCTCCCTGGACAGCTCATTCCAATGTTTAATAATCCGTTCTGTGAAAAAATTCTTCCTACTGTCTTCTATAATTGAGGCGTCATTCAAATGAAGACGCGAGAAAGTAGTTTTAAAAATTATATAGAAAAAACAAAGCTTGAGGGTCATCACTTGAAGAAGACATTTCAGTTGGGTTACTGAAGTTCCTTAATTTTCTCTCTATTTTGTGCCTAACAGAAACACGCATCTCTTCAGAATCAAATGGTGCTGGTTCTCATGGTGCTTCTATGCAGGATGGGATGGAGGAAAAGTCAAAGCTGGAAGTTTTCCAATTTGTACCATTTGTATCATCCAAGTGTCTAAGTTCACATCTGTGCTACTACAAATATTTCCAAAAGTAATGAAATTAGTATTTCACCTTGAGCATCACTACCTTATATAATGGCAAGAGCAGAGGTACTCTGGGCATCCTGCTAGAACTGGTCTGATTCAGACAGGTATACACTGTATTTGCGCAGTGCTTATTCCCTAATATGACATAAGAAATCTCCCACATCTTACCACTGCTGTTAGTCAACAGCACCTCATTAGGCATTGCACATGGATTTATATATTTGCCATGGTTTAGGAATCGTACTCCCCCTGCAGAGAGCCCAACTTGAAGCGATGAGAAATCACCAACTGTATGAAGTTTAACATTGGCCGCGTTCTGCACCTGGGACGGGGCAACCCTGGTTGTGTGTACGGTCTGGGAACGAGAGGCTGGAGAGCAGCAGTAAAAAGGGACCTGCGGGTCCTGGTTGATGGCAAGTTGAATCTGAGCCAGCAGTGCCCTGGCAGCCAGGAGGGCCAACCCTGTCCTGGGGGGCATCAGGCAAAATGTTGCCAGCAGGAGAGGGAGGGGATTGTCCTGCTCTGCTCTGCACTGGGGCGACCTCACCTTGGATATTGTCGCAGTTCTGGGCACCACAATATTAAAAAGACGTTTATCTATCAGAGAGCATCCAGAGGAAGGCCACAAGGATGGTGAAGGGCCTTGAGGGAAAGCTGTATGAGGAGCAGCTGAGAGCACTTGGTTTGTTCAGCCTGGAGGAGACTGAGGGGAGACCTCATAGTAGTCTACAGCTTCCTCATGAGGGGACAGGACTCAAGGAAACAGCATGAAGCTCAGTCACAGGAGGCTTAGGTTAGATATCAAGAAAAGGTTCTTCACCGAGAGGGTGGTTGAGCACTGGAACAGGCTCACCAGGGAGGTAGTCACAGCACCAAACCTGTCTGAGTTCAAGCAGCTTTTGGACAACACTGTCAGGCACATGGTGGGATTCTTGGCTGTCCTGCACAGGGCCAGGAGTTGGACTTGATGATCCTGATGGGTCCCTTCCAGCATATCCTATGATTCTATGACTCTATGACATTTATTTTACAAAGGCTGAATCTGGAACAGTGCTCGATATGTAGCACTCAAGTGGAGGTACCAAGTGTTTGTTACACACAGTATATTATAATTGCTGTTTGACAGAATGATCATCAGCATTATTATAATCTTTGCAGCTTTTGATCATTTCTAGAGGGGCGGAGCCAAGGGTCAGATTGTAGTCTCATTTTTACAGTGCAGATTCAGTGGTGTTTGTTGAATATAAAACCAAAAAGATTTGAATTGATCTGTAACAAAAAAGAAAAGAGGGGTATGTAGAATTCAAGAAGAAAACCTGAAAGTCTGAATTTCCTTGGCTGGATTACAATCTCTGATCTCTCATCTGTACTTGTATATCAATCCCATGTAGCATAATTTTCCCTTTTACCCTCCTGGCTCTCAAAGCTAACAAAGAAGGCTTTTAAGTGCGGTAATTGAACAGATTAGGCTTGCTTAGTAATAGGCAAATCCAGAGGGACATGAAAAACCTAAATATGGAAACTAGTTTTAGATAAGACCAGAATTCCAGTTTGAAAAAGGATCTAAGAGCTACTAAGTCAGACTTCTTCACAAATTCTGTGCTATGCCTTGTTTTTAAATTCTATATCCATTCAGAATTACTTCTACAGGTATGACAAGACACCGCCAATTCTGCAAACACTCTTTAGTCGTCTAAACTAAGTGCTTCTCGTGGATTTTTTTCATTACATAGCGAGTCAGTACTAGTTATCGAATTAGTCAGTGCAAAATTCTGGCAAAGTGCTGCATACCCTTAGCTCAGAGAAGAAATCTAGTCAAGTCAGATGCTTACGCTGCCAAAGTAGGATCTGATCCCATAAGAGAAACAGAAGTGACACAGAATGATAAAACACACTTCTCCTCTACCCTTGCTTAAGCAGCCAAGAGCAGAAATAGATTTAACAGCCACTGCTCTGTCAGTAGTGCCCAGGCTGATAGCAGCAAAGGCAGAAACAGCAGCTTCTTTGTCTTTTACTGAAATTCTCCTCGTCCCCCTCCCTCCACCCCCGAAGGGGCACAGGGTCACTGATTGCATAGTCTTTGCTCCATTGCACACTCTCAGCTATTGTTCAGTCCGCTCAGAGAGCAACAGACTGAATGTGCGGCACAGCCTTGTAACCGAGCCTTCTTTTTTATTATTGTGTGAATTAAGGATTCTCAATAAATGTAAAGCACCTGTTCATTTGGGTCGGTGTAGATGACACGTTGGGGGAAGGCTGTATGAAATCCTGCAGCAGAAGTGTATGACTTACACCGGGTACCTCTTGAAATATGATCATCTTTGTTACAATCTCCTAATCCTTGTAAAGGGATTTGCATGGTACAGAAGATTTACAATGTAATGGATTACTATTTCATAATCTGGGCCAAGGGGAAGAAACTTCAAATACTCACAATTTTTTTTACTGCATTTCAAACTTTTTTTCCGTTCTGGAAACACAACACTGGGGAGATTGTTAGAGGGTGTCTGCACACAAAATGTGGTATCAA